CTTAACAGCAACCCAGATAAGGGCCATGTTCATGCACACGCTGGTCTTTCTGGTTTGTAGAAGAATTGTGGTACATCGTGGGTACGTTGAACGGCCGTTTCTTTTGAAGCTACCACGCGGCGTCCTAAAGACTCGAGCATACTTTTGGATTATGTTGCCCTTGGTTTCTATATCATCCTTGTAAAGCCATATTTGAGAACTGAATTCTAAAGGGCCGTCAAAAATACCCTAATAAACCCCAAACCCTGCTCATGGCACAATGGTCAGCCTCTGTGATGCTCAGAATTCTGAGGCTCATCCGCTCCTATGTGAGGGTTTTGAGGCCTAAAGATATGAAGGGTTATGTAGGGATGATATAGGGATTACACAGGGAGTGCAGTATATGGGATTATAGGGGGCGATGTAGGGATTACATCGAGTTATATAATAGGATGAGCTACTGTCAATATTCGCCTTAGGAAGCGACCCTTGACAGTGGACATAGGGGTCCCTCTTGTAGTTTAGTATAGTCCCTATGATATAGTCCCTAATAACGAACCTATATCCATTAATGTTCTGGAGACATATTGACTGTAATTAGCTCGATCTTATGAGATGACTCATCCGAAAGTCGACGCATGGGTTATGAAAATCCAGGGATCCCTTTGCGGTTCCACTGCAACAGGGGTCATGGTATTTGGGTGTATGGAATATGAGGAGTGGGACCTGCAAAATGTTGGGAATACCTTGATTTGCTGTAGTATTCTGCAAGTTGCGATATCATGGCAATATTCTGCCCCGTGTTGTTCACTTCAAGACGGCAACAGTCTTACAGGTCAAGCCTGTTGGTACAAGGCTGCCTACTTGAAATAATGTGGAGTAGGCAAGGACGGAAGCACATTTTGAAGTATGAAGGGTTTGGGGTTTATGGCTTGAATATGCTTGGAGCCTTCTTATTGAACCTTACAGCCAAAGCCCCACTCTACCCAAGCAAGCCCAGAACCTTCCATGGGCCCCTTTCAAGAGGACAGTCTTGAAAAACAGGGTCCATGTCGGAGTTTCATGTTCATGTATGGGAGGCTAAAGCACTAACCCCTGATGCTCAACCAATCCTATGTATCGGTGCCGGGCAATAGCATTTAGAATGCTAGGAATATGAGTTAATAATCATCATGGAAATAGTTCGTAGAAGTATTGCTACTACTGGTTCTAATATTACTAGTCATAGTACTAATAGTAATAGTTGCCATAATGGTAATAATCGTAATACTAATACAAATGGCAAGAATCAATAGTAATTGCAGTAATGAGCGTAATCGTAGCACTAATAGCAATACTAGTACTAACCATACTACTAGTCATAACAGCAATAATAGCGCAGTAGGTAATAAAGGTAATAATAGCAATCATATTAATAGTAGTTGTATTAACAGCAAAACTACTGTTGATACGAAACTCTCGCATGACCTTGGTATACTATGGTACCATTATTCCCTAGGTATAAGGTACTTAGGGTCATGCAAGATTTCTACTATCCACCGAAATAGTGTAGTACTTGCAGGGGCAGGGGGACTTAGTAAGTAGGTTAATAACCCTTATAACCCCTATAATAACCCTAGTTATCCTAATTTTTAACCTGCTTACTAAGTCCCCCTGACCCTCGAAGTAATGACATCTTCACTGACCAGGAGTGCTTGGCAGGCAGCACTTCCTTCAACGGCCAGCGATGCACGGCAATCAAGCTTTTAAGCTGCAAAAGGGGTAGGGTTTAGGATTTGGCTATATAAGGGTTTCATTGCGGCTACATTCAGTTTTACATGGATATTTCGGGTTTAATAGGGTTTGGGGTGTAGGGTCTGCATTTCAGGAGTAAGGTCTTTAATTATGCTGTGTTTTACATCTGCGTGGCCGGCGATCGCGGCAACAAACACGGCGCGGGGTATATTGTTGTGCACATTGCCACAACTATTGCAATCATTGATCTGCTTCGTTTGCTTCTTCATTGTCTTGCTGCTGCTGTTCATGGGCAATACAGCAGCCACAAGGGGCTGCGGCTAGATAGGGACCTGGGGACATATTCCGTTATTGTAAGGACCTTCTAGGGCCCCCTCATGCAGGATATAGAGCTATAGTCTAAACTCTAAACTCCTAGTATCCCCCTGAATAACCGCTATAGTAGCCCCCTTTAAATAATCCCCTACATAACCAGCTTTGAGAAGTTTAGACTATAACTCATATGAGGATATTGGGGTTATCTTGAAAACTTCCGACATGGATAGGATCCTTCAGGTCTTTCTTCCTTGGCGCTGCTGCTTGTTATAGAGTTCAGGGTTTCGGGTTTAGGGTTACAACGTCCTTTTGAAAAAAAGGGGTCGGGGCAACAAACATCCCGTCGGTGCTAGAATTCCTTTTTTTTTGTTGTGCATCTTTTGCGGTCAATTCCGGATGGCATGTGGTAGCTTCCATAAATAAATGGGAGGCCCCCAGCATACCCCAAATATTATAAGTACTCTCGGCAACCGCTGCAACACGGAGCCCCTAATTTGGGGGACCCCCATCATGACCTTTACGTCTCCATGGTCCAGAGCCGTGAAGCTTGTGTCAAGCGTGCTTCAATGATCTTCAATGATGTTAGGAGAAAGGTTAGGCTCCAACTTGAATAGTGCAAAAATAGCCCCCAAATGATATACTGTATAAATGCATCCCTTCAGGTCACTGGTCTAGCTGTGGCCTCACATAGAGCATGCCTCCCAAGGCCAAGGGCAAAGCCAAGGCAAAGCCCAAGGCAGGTGTGATGCGGAATCCCGGTGCAAAAGCAGGTGCCAAAGCAGCAGCAAAGGGCCAGGGTAAAGGGGCTGACATGGTGGCCGCCGGCAATCGCTTGCAGAGGCTTCTTCAGCAGATGCAGGGGTTGGAGTATACGATAAATACCATTCGAACCTTGGTTGTGGAGCCAGGGCCCCTGGAGGGCAATCGACTTCAAAACCTGGATCAGACTCTGCGGGATCACGCGAATTATGTTCGAGGCTGGCAGCACAGGGCCAAGATCCTCTACCACCTGCGCAGCTGGACTCCAGCTCCTGAGAATGTGGAAGCCTGGCAGCGCATTCGTGAAGCTGCAATTGCCAGACTGGAGGCCGCAACATTTCCTGAGATCAGTGCAGATGGGGCTGTGCTGCTTGAATTTCTTATCAGCGGGTATGGCGCGAGCGTTGCTGCGGCGATGGTGATGCAGCGCGATCACTGGCGAGCACTGAAAAATCGAGTCCTTGCTCGACCCGATGAAGAGATATCAAACGAGAGCTTGGGGGGGAGGACATCAGATGAGTGCACCACGAACCATGCCCTGGTCAATGGCGCTGCTGAGTACGACGATCCTGTCCGCGTAGCCGGCTTCCTGAGTGCATTTCCAGATGGGGCGTTCGGCACACCAGACTTTTTTGCGATGCTGAGCAACCTTTCAACGTGAGCCTGTCAATGGTGATAGCATATATCAAGATCAGGAGCTGCTCTACTCATACACGTAACAGTCACGGTTGTCATGACTGATTTCTCAGCATCACAGAGCTCTTCCAAAGATTCTGCTTCTGATTTCCAGTATAAGTCTTTGTCCAGGCGGCAGGTGGTGGCAACACGGCAAATCAAGGATGTTGCGCACCTGGCCACAGAGATTGTCTCGAGATCGCAGGTTTTAGGGAGCCTCCCCTTCTGAATTGGCACAGCGTAGTAGCGGAGTAGGAGACCCCTGGCTTAAAGCCCCGAAACTCTATGACTCTATGCCTGTTTTCTTCAAGCACTATGGGGATCTTCCCAAAAACCTACACAATTTTCTAAACGGAACCCTCACAATCTGATTGAATCTCTGTGATCCCAATAGCACCCACTGGCTTCATAACCCCTGCAAAGCAACGCTAAGGAGTCCCTAAGCTCCAAACTCTAGGCGAGAAAGAGTGAAAGCGTGCAGGCGAAAAGTGCTAAGCGGCTTTAAAAGTTGGCACTTGGAGGAGCCTGAATACTTGGTAACATTAAAACTTTAAAGCCAGTAAAGACCAGATATTTGGCAATATTTCTCCTTTGCGGCGGACTCTGACCTCCTCTCCTGGGGATATGGTTGATGAGAAGTTCTTGCACCATGCATGGACCCCCAACTGTTGAAACTCCGCAGATTTTGGGCATTGGGGTGGTGTAGACTTCTTCAACAAACCACAGTAACACCCACAATACATCCCCTGAACATGGCTAGCTTATGTCAGCCAACTACGAAAACCCAGCACCCATCCCACTGCTTTCAGGCTCATCATGGCCCACAAGAGCATTGTGGATCAGTTCAATCAGAAGTTCTGTGCAGCCATTGGAGGCGCCAATACCTTCAAAGTGCAGCAAGACAAGTGACAGGGTAGCCTACAGGTTACCTTCTACAGTTTAGGGACTTACAGTATATTGTGTCCTATAATGAACTCCATTGGGCTCCCTGACCGTTGCTTTGCAAAACCAAGCCCTGAACGTGTATTGTGCAGGCCTGAATACTTGCCAACATTCTTCCCCTGTAGTCTGTTTATACATGTGTAGTTTAACATACCTTACCCTAAGGCTCTTGGACCCTCAAAATGGGATCCAAACCTTAGCCCCCAAAGCTCAAACCTTCCCCCAGAAAGCCCGAAATAGTCCTAGGAGCCTCAGGGTAGACACCTGTTCTGACGAAATTGGCTCCTACATTCTTCCCAACGAGCCCCTCTGTACACCGGAGAGACTGGGATTCTCATCATAGGGATCCTCCACAGGGAGCCCTGTATCACAAGAAGCTCTGAACATTTATGCGTGCAGAACCCCTGTAGATTCGTGAAAGAATGGATCGCATGAGCTCCTAGAACTGTCACCAATATACTCAGTTGTCACAAGCATTGCGCCTTCTTGAGCCCTGATTCTAGTATGGCCCCTGATATATAGAGTGCCCGGTGCCCCAAAAAGTAAGCACACTTTTCACCCTCCCCCACCCCATATCCACGCAATCCGCAAAACAGAACAGCCATGATGTAAGTCCAGTTTGCATATGATTCTTCACTGTTGGGGCAACAGCCTGTATATAGCCCTATACAACACTACATAACCCTACATGACGTTATATAACTTTACATTATAGCCCTCTTACAGCACGATCTAACCCTACATGACGTTATATGACTTTACATTCTAGCCCTCATATCACCATCTAACCCTACATGACTTTATATAACCTTCCAGTGCAGGTCTGAAGGTGGGGCTTCCTTTTGGGAAGAACAACGTCACGCCACTGGTAGCCTGGATGGCAAGCTTATGAGTTTGGGATTCAATGTAGAAGCTTAATTTCATGGGTTCCCCTACTACCCACCCTCTATACTACCCCCTAACCTTGATTAGGCCTCATTCTCCCCATAAGGGGGGAACCCAGGGGGTGTAGAGGGGGTAGCAGGTGAACCCATGATGAATACTTAAGAGTCCCCTTGTGGATGATGTAGTGGCAAACAGGTATGGAAGCACGAATCATACAGAGAATATCTACACATGTGCTTACAATAAGACATGCCCCAAAGCCCTATCCAAACTGCATTGGTTGAAGATAGGGAAGAAATCCTACACCACACAAGGCGCTGCAACTATACAAACTAGGGGTTAGCAGAGAAGAAGGTTATGTAGGGACTATGTGAGATCATATTCCCTTACCTTCCATAAACGCGGTTTTGGGTTGAGGGTCAGCAGCATTTTCTTAAGCCTCCCATTGTTGCCCAATGCAATTTGGTAGGTTCAATAAGTAAGATCAGCCCGATGTAGACCCACAAATTCTATGATCCGAAATTTCAGAAGCCCGACAAAGGTACCCCTAATTCTGGGAAACCCTGCTCCCTATCAATTCCCTGTAGAATATATATATATATATACATCCGCGCATACACCTATTATATATCCCCATATAACCCCTGTAAACCCCTTTAAGCGACCCCCCAATTTGGGACTGGCAGAGGCCTGCACTGCCACTGACTTCATGAAGCAGCTGACCGAGGACGTGGCTTCCATGTTAGGCTTTAGGTTTTAGAGTTTAGGGTTTGCTGTTCAGGGGCACGGCACATTGAAAGCCATCCCGAAAGCAATCCGCTAAGCACAAGATATGCCAGGACATAGCTTGAGTTGATAAGGATGTTTAAGTTGCAGCAGGATGCTTGATATCGGGTGGGAAAGGGGGTCAACGCAACGGGCCCACCTCAGCGCTACCCTGACAGAGCAAGAGATAGCGCAGCAAGCTGCGTTGTCCCCACGCCCTTCCACAAGAGCTACTAGCGGCATGCTTTCTGTCAAGATACTTGTTGTGCATGGAACCGCATAAGGCCTGCTACACATTTGGGTGCGACTGCTTGCGTCTGTCGGGTACTGCCCCTCTCAGTAAGCGTCTATAATAAAAGTGGTACTGCTAAGGGCTTGCAATAAATATGATCCAACTGCTACTGAGTGGGGGACGTTTGACATGCAACCCTGAAACCGTCTCCCTTGAAGCTACGCATCCTCGGGGGTTCCTGTAAACGGGATCCTGCTACTTGGTGCTGTGCCTGGAGACCTTAACTTACCCATCTGGACTCCCAGCCAGGATGCCGTGGCCAAAGGAGCACGGGTGCTCAACGCTGGTGCGGGCGGCGCTCACTGTGATCGGACACTCTTCGCACCTACGGCCGGGCTGCTTCGGCTTTGCGTTGCAGAGTTGTTATTTACCATTACTGCCAAAATACGCGACTGGATTTGAGCGGTTGTGTGCAAGGGTGGCTCCTATAATATTGACATGCAGCATTGCAGGCGGCTGGCTTTGTTGAGTCTTGCATGTCTGTGGTTTCTACGCGCCCTGACCTTGTCAAGTTCGAATCCAGATTTCCCAAAGAATTCCAGAGTTGCCGAGCATGACAAAGCCAGCTGCCTGCAAGCATGCCTGTGACAGGTTGGCCACATATTTCTGGCGTGAAGCCTTGTGGTCAGTCGCATGCAGGTGGTTTACCCCGTTAACGCGGAGATGCAAGTGTGGACAGCGGAGCAGTTTGGCCCTGTGATCCCCATTGCAGCTTGTCCACGCACAGGAAGCCAATTATTGGGGATTGTTAATGTCACTTTGAGGTCTATTTGAGATCTCAGGTAGCCAAATTCTGCCGAAACAAAGGATCTAGGATCAGAATGTTGGTAATTGTTTACGCTTGCACATCACTCCATGTAGAAGTTGTGCAACGGCTGTTGAGAAGTTGAGGCATCGAAAGTACAGGTATCACAGTTTTGGGTACCACAACCCCATGTTTTTTTTGTCCGGCCTCGGCACGAGTATTCAAAGTAGCACCACGCGACGGCAGCCTTTCGATATTGATTGGGGAAGTGGCCCGGAGTCAAGGACTTGACCTAAGTAAATGTAGGTGAACCCCACATGGCCCGAAATGTTTCCGCATCTAGCCGCATCATTATCTGGCTGGGCGCGATGTTCAAGGTTCGCATCATTTTCCGGAAGTATTCCCAAGCAGAGTCTAGCGCTTGGAACCTGCTGTGTCGACTCTGAGAGTCCCTGACTAGATCTAGGTGGGGTTTCTTAAAGGAAAGGGGTCGTAATTGGAGGCCCCTGACTCATGGACACCTCCGTATCTTTTCAGGAGGAGCTAGGTGTTTAGGGTAATAAGCCGGGAGAATGTCCGATGCTACATGCAATGGTGTGGTTTTCGGAGCTTCGTATTAGGCAAGGTTTTTTCTGGCTATGCAAGCTTCATCTACAGTTGCCCTCCACAAAGGCATCCTATGAGAACATCAACGAGCCCATCGAGTGGCTGCGGAAGTTGGTTGGCTGCACTGCTTCCGCATGAGAATAACTCCCACCCCTTTTAAGGATCCACACGCGGATCCACCAAAATCCCCGGACAGGCCATTCCGAGCCCTGCACGAAAGCTGGCTAAACATTCCTGAAATTTCCACCTTCCTGCAGCCCAGGGATTACGGCTACTGAGAACAAGATAAGCAGCCTACTTCTGAATTCTGGAGATGCGCATCAAGAAAGGCCTAACGCCCGCATTGCGACCAAAATCGAAGACCTGAAAATCAGCAAAGTCAAGAAGCAAAGCACGTCCGCTGGCCCCTCAACCCTGGATCCAAAAACTCGAGATGCTCAATGGGGAGTCAGGGAATCAATCCCGCACAGCAGCCCTGTATCATTCCCCAAAAAACATTCCCAAAGCACTCCCTGCAAGACTTTGCTCCCTTGGCTTTGCCCACTTTTGCCCACTAGACATTTGCGTACTATCAATCTGTAACCTTAACCCAAGCCCTAACCCTGGAACTCTTGAACCCTACCCTAAACCCTATAATACCCTAACACTGGAACTCTTGAACCCTAAGCCTTGAACCTTACGCCCTAAAAAGCCCTAAGCCCTAAGAAGCCCTAAACAATAAGCCCTAAAAAGCCCTGAGCCCTAAACCTTAAGCCCTGAATCCCAAGCCCTGAACCCCATCTTGGAGCTGAGGATGCACTTTGGGCAGCAGACTGCCATCTTCACTTCACAGGCTCGGCTTCAGGCTTTGTTTTAGGATTTAGGGCCCCCCTTAAGTAGATAGAACATGGCTTTGGTATATTATAATAAGACCCCCATATACCCCATTTACTCTCTACTTAAGGGGGACTATACGTTTTAGGGCTTAGGGTTCAGGGTTTACGGCTTATAGGGTTCAGGATTTAGGGCTTGGGGCTTAGGGTACAGGGTTTAGGGCTCAGGGCTCAGGGTTTAGGATTTAGGCCGTGAGGGTTTGGGGTGCTCCGTTTTGGGGGTTCAAGGTTTTTGGGCTCGGGAGTTTGGGGCTAAGGGTGGTTAAGGGGTTGAGGGGTGATTGTTATAGTGCTGGCCATCGGGGCCATAAACGGTATTAATAAGACAAGGAAAGATTGAAAAAGTAGGGATGATTGAGTATTTCCAGTTGCCGTCCAGTCCGTGTGCCCCATGTTGCCGTCCCCGTCTAAGGTCACATAGAAGGAACCGCCAAGTACCAATCAAGTTCCTGAGGGATTCTGGAATGAAGCTATAGGAGCCATACGCAGTCTAAAGCCCTACTATCCCCCCTAATAGGCTCCACAAAAGGAACCCTACACAGTCCCCTATGCAGCCCCCTTTAAGGAGTTTAGATTCTGGCTCATATGCTTTTCGAGAGGGGCATAGATTGCAGAGGTTGTGGCTTGGGAGTGCGCAAGGCCTCCTCCAAGGCGTAGAAATGGCTTGTGTTGGGTCAAGCTTATTATGTTTCTGGGTCCTTAACAGCAGCCCAGCCTTTTGAGGGTTGGGTGCCCTGGAATTCGAAACCTAAAGCATCATCCCCTCTTACTCGTACTGTTCTTGAAGCGCCTTAACCGTGCCTTAACCCTTCCAGAACGGGTCATTTAATCTGCCTAACTACTCAGCACAAACGTAGTTGTGGGGATGAGGCTGGACGATGTAGAGTAGAGGGCAGGAATTGATTCCTTCTTGCTAGTAGTAGCAGAACCATCCACTCCCCAACAATTTCTGTTCCTATTACAGTATATCATGATTGCAGTATATTGGAGGGGAGGTTGGAGTTCAATCTTGATGGTCCCTCTTAAGTAGATAGAATATGGCTTTGGGTATATTATAATAAGAATCCCAGACACCCCATATTCTATCTACTTGAGGAGGACTATATACCCTAAACCCTAAACCCTAAACAGTAGTTTCCATTTTCTTTTCCATTATCCCAATACATACCCCATATTCTATCTACTTAAGGAGGACTATATTGGACTAAGCTTGCTGCAGGATACCTCGGCGCCACTGAACCCAGAGATGGCAGAGCTGCTGGATGTCCCGGGACTCATCTGAGTTGTTTAAAATGGAACCCCCTAGAAGGGGTTTATAGGGGTCTTATAGGTTGTTTAAAATTATGGAACCTCCTAAAAGGGGTTTCATAGGGGTTATATAGGGGTCTTACAGGGATAATGGAAAAGAACATGGAAACTACAACAATAGGTTTTAAGGTTTATAGGCCTGAAGGTACCTAAACCCAAAAGACGATAACACCATGGGGGTGTCCAGGTCAGTTTCGGCAGGTTTTGTGTGCATTTGCTGGGGCCCTCAAAACCCCTAAGCGCTAAACCCTAAACCCTATCTTAACCCTAAGCCCTAGTACAGAGTATATACTTAGGCCCCAAAGTACCATTACAGCAACCTCTTTGGGTCCCGTGTATATACTGTATACGTTCATGGACCGTTCGGGCTATTTACAAACCCCTACATGTCCCATAGAAACCCCTTGTTTACCTTGCATTTTCCTTTTGCTTTTCGAGCTGAGTCCCTAAACCCTCAAGTAGGCCATATGAGCCATAGCCTGAACTCCTTAAAGTGGGTTTTCTAGGCGCTTACATTGGGGACTACTATAGGGGTTACGAAGGGGGATACGAGGCTTTTTGACTCTGGCTCATATAATTCTCTATAATTCGAGTTTCCATTTCATTTTCCAGGTGCTTTTCCGTCTGAGTTTCCATTACTCGCATTTTGGGGATTCGAATTCCTCAAAGACTTTGACATGGCTCATGCGGGGCCCTAAGAACTATAAACCTGTAAGGATGTAAGCTTCCAGAGCTGAGGTTGCGGGTTTGGGGGTTTGGGGGTTTGGGGGTTTAGGGTTTTAGGGTTTTAGGGTTTGGGGTTTAGCGTTTAGGACTTAGGGTTTGGCGTTTAGGGTTTAGGGCTTAGGGATAGATAGGAATACATGGGAGTTTCCCAAAATTAGGGGTCCATTTTTTGTTAGAAAAAGGCTTTAGTATATTGGGGGGTCTATAAACTACCACCTAGGGCTTAGGCATGCGTGCCACAGGTTGTGTTTATCTTCACGGCCCTCTCTGTGGACCTGCCATGACGTAGCCATTAAGAGGTATACATTGGGTACTGCCCCCCCTCAGTAACAGTTGGATAATGCATATAATATGGTTATATATAGCCCTTAACAGGACCCCTAATATAGACTATTACTGGGTGGGGGGGTCCACCTAAGGTATACTGATGTGTGATTTACGGCACTCAAGGCCAACAGTTCCTTGGACTTTGCTTGCCCAACTTGTCCTTGGCAACTTCAAGCTTCCTGGGGTTTCCCGTGCTCATCTTAGCTTAACGCGGCGAACGAGGAAGACCCGTGAATTTCCTGGCTGCCCTCATGGGATATATGGGTGTAATGTTTAGGGTACCTGAAGCCATATTCTATCTACTTAAGGGGGATTATATCCCCTCCAGACATCCTAGGCTCGAGCCACCAAGCCCCCTAAACACTATAGGCCCGTCACTGCTCGAGGCTCTTTCGACTTTGTAACAGTAAGCCTACTTACCATCCCCAATAACCCCTATCATGAGCGCCATAGGCATTATTTTCAAAGTAGACTCACTAAGCCACCTCCAAGTACTCCCTCAAGCCCAAGACCCTATATCCCGCTAGAGTTTCCATTACAGATAGCATGAGTGTTTCGTACCTAGCTCCTAAAACTCTAAGTCCATATATCATCCCAGTTTCAATTTAATTTCCCATGTTCTTTCCCATTTGCTTCTCCATTTTGGCTGCGCGAAGCCCCTGAAACCCTAAACCCTATTAAGCCCTAACATTTAGATACCCTAAGCCCTAAGACCTAAACCCTGAATCCTACCTACCTAGAGTTTCAAGATCCTAGCTTTCTCAGATGTGCGCCCTCTGCACCTGCCGGGTGAACATCAACGCACAGTGCCAGTGGGCCCGCTCAGGAAGAAGAACTAGGGTTTAGGGTCGGAGACCTTACTATAGAAGGTCATAAGGGGATGTATGGGGGGTACATTATCCCCAAATCTGGGGACCTTATAGGGGTATATAGTGGGATAGTGGAAAACAAACTGGATACTACGACGCTTTAGAGTATGTGGATTAGGGCTGTGGTAGGTCTTTGGATAGAGGAAGCTATGTAGACTAGGGATTACTTCGGGCCTATACGGATGTATATAGGGATAATGGAAAAGAAGATGGAAGCTACTATTTAGAGCTTAGGGTTTTTCGGGGTTTCAGGTGGAAAAATGGAAAGTTACATGAACACTAAGGTTATATGAGCTAAAGGCATTCCTAGGGCCTTAGGGTTACCAAAGACCCTGAAGGGTCGACAGGGGTCCCTTTTGTAGATTAGCATAGTCCCGATTAATATACATCAAATGACAAGGACCCATCTCCATGAGTTACTAAGAAATAATGACTGTAGCTCATATAGGGCTTACAGATGAACTAATGGACAAGGAAACCGAACATGACATGGGAACTGCGGTCATACAGTGGTGAATGGGGGTACTTGCCGCTATTTCGGGCGTAGGTTACTTGTAAAGCTATACTTCAAAAAGGCCTCGAAGTTGTATTGGTAATCATGTAGGGCTTATATTACGTTTGTACGGCCCCTTAAGGCCCGCAGCCCGGGGTTATGGGTCCGAAATACACCGATTGAGTGTTATATTCCATTGCTTAGGGGTCCAAACACAAGGGTACCAACTCTGAGGGTACAACCTCCGGAAGTCCATGGAACTTGGGGGCCCTTTCTCGGGCCCCCGTTTGCAGGTTCACAGTAGTGTGCCTCATTGATTCTGCGGCCTTTCTTAAGATGGAAACTACGACTTGTAGTTCTATTCAAAACCCAGCTAGCAGCCCCTGAGGTCGCCTAGTATGGTCATTCTTGGGTTGGAGGTGCAGTTGCAAGTAGGTTGTAAGTACCCATGGACCTCCAAGTTGGTGTGTCTCAACTGAGGGGGCGCTGGGAATGAGAGGAGGGACTATGTAGGA